GTTCATACGTCATTGCCTGCAGTGCGGCGGGAGTAATCCCACCAATTTATGAAACTGATCACGGAAATTCTCGGCCGGCAGGATAGATATAGCGCAGGCGGGAGAGAAGAAGAAACATGCTGTTTTGCGTGGTGTTTGGAGCTTTGGAGCAAGTAACATTGTGTTGTGCATTGTGTTGGTGTTTGGCCATTTTGTGGCCTCCTCAAATGCACTTCGTTCCGCCCCCGGGGCGTAGCCGAACCAAGCCTCACTCTGCACGCCAAGCTAATGAGGCCATCATTCCCGGCTGAACGCACACGTGCTGATGTCAGTGGTTGAAACAAAGGAGGGGACACCGGTCCATCAGTCTGCAGGGCACGGCTGACTTCATGCAGGCTGCTCTCCGTCGCTAGCAAGATCCGGTTAGCGGACCTGTTGGGGACACCGGTCCATCAGTCTGCAGGGCACGGCTGACTTCATGCAGGCTGCTCTCCGTCGCTAGCAAGATCCGGTTAGCGGACCTGTTGGGGACACCGGTCCATCAGTCTGCAGGGCACGGCTGACTTCATGCAGGCTGCTCTCCGTCGCTAGCAAGATCCGGTTAGCGGACCTGTTGGGGACACCGGTCCATCAGTCTGCAGGGCACGGCTGACTTCATGCAGGCTGCCCTCCGTCGCTAGCAAGATCCGGTTAGCGGACCTGATGCTGGCTAAGGGTATCGCTGCAGGCAGTCGCATTAGACCGCGCCCAGACCTGCTGGCCAGGCACGTGATCGTCGAGATGTGCCTTTTCTGGTCTGATTTGGTGGCCGTGCAAAATGCGGTACGGACTACATTTTGCTGCTGGTGCGGGCGTTTCACGGGAACAGTCACGAAGGAAGCGCGGTGATCTAGGGCGCAGACAATGGGCGTAGACAATGTGTCCATCCGTATTAGCAGTGCAAGGTCATGCACGCAGGGCGGCTATCCTAGAATCCTAGACTGTAGTGAGAACCCCTTCTCCCTCCTGGAGTGCAGAGAGAGAGAGAGAGAGAGAGAGAGAGAGAGAGAGAGAGAGAGAGAGAGAGAGTGAGTGAGAGAGAGAGAGAGAGAGAGAGAGAGAGAGGGAGAGGGAGAGGGAGAGGGAGAGGGAGAGGGAGAGGGAGAGGGAGAGGGAGAGGGGAGAGGGAGAGGGAGAGGGAGAGGGAGAGGGAGAGGGAGAGGGAGAGGGAGAGGGAGAGGGAGAGGGAGAGGGAGAGGGAGAGGGAGAGGGAGAGAGTGGTTCAGTTACTGTTAGTTACTATAAGTTAATGGCTTAGTACTATACAATTATGATTTATTAGTGCTCCAGACGATTTTTTAAAGGAACGCGACGTACCCTTTTATGGAACGCCACCGACTGCGGCGGTCAAACTGGCGCTCAGGGGTCATGGCGCAACCAGGGTTCGACCCCCCCCCCCCCCCGCTATGGGGGAGCCGAGGGCGTTCATCACTCGGATATCATGTCCCGTCCCTGTTTTTCGGCGTATGTGTCTGTTTGTGTCCGTATCCCTGTGCGCGGCTGTCGCCGCGTTACGCTGGATCCTGCCCCGCTCACATTTCCCCAGTCTGAACTGGCGCTGGGAAACACGCGACCTGGCTCCACCCCAGCGTGACGTGACGGCGCCAGCGGGCGTCCGCGTCACGCCGTGACTTGTGTCACGCCGGCGGCCGGCCGGCGCCGCGGGGCGTGGCCGGCCGCCGGCGTCACGGGGCGGTCATCATCGGCACATCAGCGCGGCGCGGCAGCGCGGACGGCGGATGTGGCGCGGCGGTGACATGGCTTGCGCCGGCTGCGGGCGGGGCTCTGTTGCGGCCGGGGGCGGTGACCGGGCGTGTCGGGGTATGTGCCCACGGGCGTCAACTCTCGGCGGATTGTGTTTTGGTGTGCTCATGGCTGCAGCAGGAGCGGTATCTGTACGAGAGAGGCTGTGTTGACTTCTCACTGGCGAAATTTTGGGCATTTGGTCCGCTTATCCACGGGCATGCGCGTCTGCCTCTGCCGACGTAAACTGGGTCTCCACGTAAGTGAGAAACACTCGTGACGATTTTTGTAAGCCGAACAGATGCCCACCTTTCTTGCGTTGTTGATTCAGGCAGGCCTGGTGCAAGGACATTATTATCACGACCTCTAGCGACAGTCGTTGCGTTGGAACAACTAGATGGAAAGAGTCGAACCCGAGGACTTTCGATCGAAGGATGCGCACTTCTGCGATTTTGCAGAAGAGGTGGCTTTCATTCGTGCAAGCGATACCGCTCGTTCACAGATGCTGTGACCACGATATCTGTATAGAGTAGGCTGCAGCGTGCTGGGCCAATGCTGGGGCAAGGAAGGCATTACCTCTCTGGCGTACCCCAGCTTACGGAATGCCTTTGTGTATGCCATGGTGGCTGCTGCTGTGCTGGCTGCCGCTGTGCTGGCTGCCGTACTGGCTGCCGTGCTGGCTGCTGTGCTGGCTGCTGTGCTGGGTACCGTGCTGCCTGTGGACGTGCTGGCTGCTGTACTGGCTGCATGCTGACGGTCGTGCTGGCCGCTGCCGTGCTGCCGTGCCGGCTGCCGTGGTGGCTGTCGTGCCGGCTGCTGCTGTGCTGGCTGCGGTCACCGCCGTACTGGCGGCGGGCCTCCTATTACCTGTTGACGCCGCCGGGGCCCCGCTCCGTGCTGAACCTACCTTGACCGCGGACAGCCTCCCCGCCAGCGTGGCCGCCGTCTTCCCAGGGAGGGCCGCTGCCGCCCGTTCTCACCGGACGCCAGCGGTGGGAGCCTGGCGCCATCCGTGTATGATAGATGCGTCGGAGCGATCAGCGGCCTCGCCCCTACCGTGCGACGCCTTTCTACCGCTTCTGAGAGAGCGCGAGTGGTCGCGTGTCAGCTGATCGCGCTCGGGTGATGCATGGCGACGCGCGTCGTCTTCTGTGATTTGGTGGCAGCGATTTGTCGGTCGTTGATTAACGTCACGTGATCGGTGAGCGCGGACAGTAATGGACGGTTTCTTGTGACGGCTCGGCGGCCGCCACGCTGGGCTTTTGTCGCCGTGGGTGCCGGTAGAGCGTTGGGACCTATTACGGAACGTTTTCTCGGCTTTGCCACGTTCTTGATGGAACTCAGGTCCTCACTCGCCCCCGGTTTCCTGCTCCGCCCGATTTCATGGGAAAAGGGCGCAAAGGGCGCAAATCACGCGCAACAAGATCCAGAACCACTGGTTTAGGTAAAGATCATACGAGCAGAGGCCAGGCAATTACACGCCGCTAGGATACAGGGTTATATCGACTTTAAAGAAAAGTGAAAACTGCATACATAACCATTTAGACCTGGAAAGAGACACAGCAGAGGCACGTGCAAATACCTCGGATAACCATCACAGCTGTTCGGCGTTTCTGAACGTATCTCCCAACTAACACACGAGACTCGCAGTCCGTGCCGTGGACCGGGGCCACCGCCAGCCTGCCGCAGCACCAGCCAGACCGGACTGTCTGACGCGACGGGCGCCGTCCGAGGCAGACAGCTCTCAGCAGCGCGCCGTCCCAGCTGCCAGGCCCGCTGCCGTTAGCCTCGCCGGCTGCGCTGACGGTGCTGTTCTGGCGGGATTGCGGCCGCTAGCCGCAGCTAATCCGTGGCTAATGGCACGGCACACGGACAATACCGCCGCCGGCCAGCCGACTGCGACCGTGCCCTCAGGCGTGTGGGCCGACGCTCGCGCTGCGACATCGGCGTTTTTTCATCGCGTGACGCCTTTTTATCGTTAGACGTTTTTTTCTAGGTTCCTTTTTTAGGTCATGAGGTTTTTACCACGTTGCTTTTGTTTGCCTGCTGGTGTTTTTTCCGTGTTGTTGCCCGGTTTTCGACCACATCAGATTGTGAACTGTATGACACATTTGTGTATGTGTGTGTATGTCTGTATGTATGAACTGTATGAGTATGGCGTGACTCAGTTTTTAGGGCCGCCAGGCCCGAAATACTGCGTTATACCATACTCATACACCATACTCATACACCATACTCATACACCATACTCATACGCACACAGCTCGTGCATGCAGAACGGAGCCCCGCGCGCTCCGCCCTTGCCATCGTGCTGGGTGACGTGCTACTCTCGACGGTGGAGGTCAGCGGGGGTGACCTCAGGTGCAGAGAGCAGCCCTGACCGGGCGGCGGGCTGAACCGGGCTGGTCTCTAATGACCGTAATGGTTCAGGCCGCAATGGCCAGTCCGGCGCGGCCGGCCCTGTTTGGGCGCCGAGCGTGCCGGGCTACGGAAGGTCTCTCGCTGTGACATGCGGTCCCACCTATCGGGAGGCAAAACTGCGTTCTCTGACGGGACGCCCTGATATGCTGCATTACCACGTACTTTTGGTGGGATCTGGCACAGTATTTCTTCGAGCACCATGACTGCTGTGGTGTATTCCACTCTTACACTGTGTGCATAACTTGACAATTCTGCATTGAAACACGTCTAAATTTTCTTTGCTGGTGTCTTTCATGTTTGCTCCTTCCTCTGGCTTGATGTGCCTTAGCCATGGATTCAGCGGGTCGATCAGCTCCCCTCACAGCCTCAAGCGACCCCCTTTAATCCTGTGCATTATCCGCCGCATGCTGGACGGTGGCGTCACTGCGCTCCCCTCTCAACCATTGGCCACACTTTTAACCCTGCGTGCTCCGGCTCTGACCCCGCGTGCTCCGCCTCTAACCCCGCGTGATCCGCCCCTATCCCCGTGTGCTCCGCCTGAGCACCCTGTTCTCCACCTCTTCCTCCGTGTTCTCCGCCTCTGACCCCGTATTCTCCGCCTGTATACCCGTGTTCTCCGCCTCTGGCTCGGTGTTCTCTGCCCCAGATCCCGTGTTCTCCGCCCCTAGCCCTGTGTTCTCCGCATCTGACCCCATGTTCTCCGCCTCTGACCCCGTGTTCTCCGCCTGCAACCCCGTGGTCCCCGCCTCAGACCCCACGTTCTCCGCTTGTAGCCCCGTGTTCTTCGCCTCTGACCCCGTGTTCTCCGTCTGCCGCAGACTGGGAGGCGGTGCGATGGAGCTGCGGGTCAGCGTCCAGTCGCTGATACATCAGCTGGTGCACGAACAGGCTAAGGCCACCGTCCATCTCCAGGTGAGTTCCACTGGCCGCCCGGACGGAGGGCTGCCCGTTCGATACCCGACGCCGGCCGGATTTCTTGGTGTCGGCGGCGATTGGGCATTTGGCTGGTGAGCTGCTTCGAACCCCGGTGGTTTGACGAGCTACGATAGCTTTGTACTTGTTGTTGAATTCCCGGAATTCCGAACTTCTCTTAAGTTTGTTAGTCTGGGAATGTATGTCAAGGTCAGGGTGTTTTTGGAAAGCTGAGTTCTTTTCAAGCACGCTGTTGCACTCCTCAATCTGCCTCCTTGCGTGTGGAAATATCTTGATTGAGAAAATACGGATATTCGTACGTCATTCTCTGTCCTTCTCGCAGTTTCTGTTATGTGGTAGGTGAAATCCTGTCAGCTTTTGATGGTTCTCATGGATCTCCAGTTTTGAAGAGTTACGGCGTACAATATCACCACGGATGTTGGATTCTGACAGGCGGTTAGCTGGTTAAGTGTGTTGTGTCTCTGGTTTAACTCTAGCCACCATATAGCTCCGGTTTCAACGGGTCGGCAGTAAAAACAAAAGAAGCTGCAATGACCACAGCGCTCCGACCGTGTCGTAAAATGCACAGACTGCCGTCACGGATCTTACGAACAGAAGTGGCGTGCCCGAGACCCGTGGGAACACATCGTGCGGGGATTTCTCCATGAAGTTACGTACTCCGGCCGGGCTGTTGCGTGTTCCCGCGCTGGATGTTTTTCTTCACGTTTCGTGATGATGCATGGCGCTGTTCGCTGGCTTCCACAGCCGCACGGTCTCTGTCCCTCCACGGCTCTCGCTGGTCCCACCCGCCGCGGTCCTTAGGTCGCCTCCGGTGGGGGACGGCGGTTGTACCGGTTGGTCCTGGTTCGACCATCTCTTTGCTACTACTTCGGCGCTGTTGTCCGGCTGGAGTGTCTCGTGGGTGGCGGGCGGACTGCTGCCGTAGCCACTCTCCGTTACTTGGGCCACGGCGCCGTCGTTTCGCCTTTCATTTCCGGTGCCCCGTCCCGCCTTGTCTCCCCGTCGCCTATCGGTGATCCCCCGAGGCGTCCGGTGTCTCGAGCCGGCACGTGAACGCCGATTCAGCACGCGCACACCCGCTGAGCCTGCCTCATGACCGCGGCAGTGATGTTGCTCGGCGCCACTGCTCGTCGCCCGGGAGACGCCCCCCGGTCAGAGGTCAGTCGTCCCGCGGCGTCTGATCGCCCCGGGCGACGGCGGCCGCCGGTCTGCCCGATTGATCACGCGCCGGCCACAGTGGGGCAAGGCCGGCCGGTGCGGGGCGGCCGCCGCCCGGCTCCCGCCCGACGGCCGTCGATAACCGGCGGCGACGGTGGCGCCTCGCGCCGGCCGCCGGCCGCAACGCCCGCATGCCGGGAATGTGGCGGCGGCGGCGGTGCTCGGTGCCGACGCGTGGACCCCCGGGCGGTCACGGAGTCTGCCCTGGGGCGTCGCCGCGGCACGGGTTAGGTACTGGGGTCGAGGAGCGATGATGAGACGGCGGGATGGGCCGGTAATGGGTGGCGGTGGTGGTGTTTGTTTTGTCTGCCGGCGGCGGTGCGCGTCACTGGTGTGAGCGTCAGCCGTGACAGGGTCTCACAGCGAGCTCAGGGGGGAAGTAATGCGCGACCGGCAGTGCCTTTTGAATCTCACAACCGTGAGTCTCAATCACTGTGCCTGGGCACCAGTGTTCAGGTCCAACACTGACCGCGTGATGGCTTGGCTTATCACAAATACTGAAGGGGGAGGGGAGGGGGGGGGGGGAGGATATCGAACCGGAAGGAGTGGTGGGAAGAAGGGGATGATCAGGCTGGGTATAGCGGGTGTGCCGCCGCCGCCTCACCGGATCGTCCGGGTCGGGTGGTGCGGGACCGCCAGTGAGGGCCGCCACCCAGGCGCGCTCAAATGAGACGGAGACGGTCGCAGGTATTCAGGTTCCCTGATCCCCGGCAGTCGGCACGCCCCCACCCCCGCCAAAAAAGAAACAGACAACATAGATGTGGCCTACCCGTAGAATCGTGAACCATGTTTGGGTGGGTGGGGTTCCCTGAGGTCTGGCGACACATGACGCCCGCGGAGTCACGTGGGCGGGTCGAGGCTGGCTCCGGGCCGCTCTCCGCCTGTCCCAGGTTGTGTCCGCGTCGGCGCCGCCGTCAAGACAGGAAAGGACGTGTTTAACTGCCCTCCCAGCCAGTCAAAAAGCGGCCGTGAAGCCTGATCGCAGCTGGGGGAGTGCCGCATACTGGCTGCGCTGGGCGGACATGGTCAGCTGGCTACGGCGGCGGACTTAACGGCCGTTAGTCTTTGGCGGCTCGTTTTCGTCCGCTGAGTCCGCGCGTGAAGACAATGTGGGGCGGCCGAGGCCATATCCATAAAACAACTTGTCTGGACGCTTCTTTGTTCACGGTGGACGCGGCAAGGGGGCGGGCATGGCCACCACTGCAGCAGGTGTCCACAATCATGGCCACGTAACTGCGCCTGAAATGCTGCTGGGGTCCATTTCGTTTTGGGTCAAATGTTGCATGGTTAAAACACCGAAATAGCCGAATCTACCTATGGCTTACTGGAGTCGGGACTAGAGACGCAACTTTTCAGCCCGCCAACCCGTAAATTTCTGCCCCGCATGAGCCGGTGGCTTTGGCGGGGTTACGAGTCAGACTTTTGAGCGGGCTTTTGCGGATCAAAAATTTCGTCAGGCAAAATAGGGTATTTTGCGCTAATCCTTAAGTTTCGAAATCTTCCAAAAAACAGATTGTACTGCCAAACACAAAGCAGTCATGAAACGAGCATTTTTTTAAATTTTTACAGCAAGAGCACCAGGGTCAAGAAAGTCATGGCATTCATAGCACACTAATTAACCAGGTTGACCAAGTTGAGCAGCTATAAATAAACGTCTCACTGAAAAATTCAAGAACAAAACCCTAATTTTCAAAACTATGGCCCGATTTTATTGAGCAAAGGTGAGGTAGGTCATTTATTGTCATCTTTGCTTCCACGGGGCCTTTACGCTGCATTGCATAAAACCGTGCAGCGATAGTTGTGGGACGGAGCATGGATAGTGGTAAGATAGAAATGTGCACCTTTTCAAAACTACCATGTGGTGTTTATGTAGTGTGGTTGCGTGATGCATTCACTGGACAACAAGCACCACGCAGGAGGCTGGATGTGATTTTTCAATCAGAAACTTCGGTTTATGGCAATTGTGATGCAGCCGAATGATGGTTGATCTTGTGTGCATTGTAATGAACTGACACTTCCCATGATTGAAGATATCCAGCATTTTTTACCCCGCCAGTGCGGAGTTACCAGTTGGTGCGTGCGATTTTGGAAGAAATGGTCTTCGGTCTATTGGGATGAGGTAAAAGGTTGAAATCTTTGGAGAGTTGCGGTGAAATGCCAATTTCATTTCCACCCTCTTCCTTGTCATTTGTAGGTGAAAACTGTTATCAGTGTTTAATATCTACACTGGTGCATTATAAATTGCATTGCGCAGGTACTTTCGTTGCTGCTCCCTGAGCAACATCACTGGTATTAGCCACACTATGCTGTGCATTATATGACACATGCCATGTTACGCACACTTAAATGTATAGCTCCAAAGTTACGGTGAAGTGATATAATGCATATTACAATAATGTAGTACTGGCGGATTAATGGCGGATCAGCATTATAGCATAGCGGACTTTTGCAGGCGGGACCACTAGCTAGGCGGGGCGGGCTGGGCTGCGGGCTGATATTTTAGAGAAATTCGCGTCTCTGGTCGGGAGCCTAACGAGCCCAGTGATGGTGACGTCCATGCCGATAATCGGAGATCATCTACCACCGCTCGTGTGGGGAAGCGGAGCTTCCTGGAGGTGCCGCACCCGTGGTGTCGTCTTTAAGTAATGTGGCGGAAATGGCGCCGCGGTAAAGGCGGACACGCTTCTCAATAACCCTCTCGGGGTCAATGGAGTTTGTTAAGTGAATTTGTAAGTTGAAGCCACGGAATCTTGAAGCAAGCCAACTTTGACATTGTCGGAGGAGTGCTATTGAGCCCACTACACTAGCACCAAAGCCCTGACACGAAGGTCGCTATTGTGCAGCGGCGCATGCGGGCAACACCCGCGTGCAAACGCGGGAACTGGAAGATCTGACGCGTCAAAGTGTGTTGCCGACCGATTCGTGACCTTTCACCCCTCCCCCAACGCAAACACACACGGACACCGTTGCTGCACGAGGTGGTCAGGGACTACAGGCGGCGGTGCCATGGCGTGCTGTGGTGGCGCCGATCCGGGGTTAGTGCCGTCAGATGACCCGCTCGCGGACAACCCAGAGGCTCAAAAAGGAGGCGTCGGAAGCGTCGGCGTCACGCAGCTGCCATATGTCCCTGCAAGCATTTTCGACGATGGGGGATATCAAAAATAATACCTGTGACAATGCGGAGCGACGGGTGACCGACTTCCGTTCTCTTCGATGGTTTCTAAGATCCGTTGACGTCCCTGTTCAGTGACAATTGACCTATCGTGCTGTTGAGCCTGCTTTTGTGCCGGCAATGCTGCTTTTAGCTATGGTCTGTGGTCTGTGGTCTTTCAGCTTTGGTCTGTTGTCTGCTGCTCTGCTCTGCTGTTCCCTGCACTGGCTCGTCTCTGGACTTCTTCCTCGAATTGACATGCCAGAGTCGGCTGCTATCCATATCCAGCGGGTCGTCTGTCGTGCCTTTGCCACGGTAATGGCGATGGCAGTTGCCAGTGTCATGTAACCAGTTGACATCGCCATGCCTCTCGCCGCCCTCAGGGATGGCACAACCTCGTCAGAGTTGTGGGGAAAGGTGTTTCCCACTGATTTCTTTCCATCAAGTTTTAGGGCTCCTGGATGTTTTTCTGAAGTTTGTGGGCAATTACACACTGCCCCCCCCCCCCTCCTCCCCTCCATTATGCCGTCCCAGGCACGCGCGCGTGTGCGGCGGATCGGCGGATGTTGACCGTTTCCGGCCAGCCGGCTCTATCGATCCTCCCGGGCCC